GCCGGTCAAGTAGCGCCTCCTGCTTTCTAGCCTGAATCTACTCTCTGTCAACTTATGGCTGTTATTCCTTGTTACTCCCAGTAGCGCTCGGAGGAACAGGGACTCTCCCATTGCCTGCTGGTCTCCCTTGGCCAGTTTATAGATGGCCACTAGATCCCCTCTCTGCCTTCTTTTGTGGAAGCTGAACAGGTTCAGGTCCTGTAGCCATCTCCCCTGAAGTGCGGCGCCCAGAACTGGACGCAGTACTCCAACTGCGGCCTGACCAGTGTCATATAGAGGGGGAGGATCACCTCCTTGGACCTGCTTGAGATGCATCTGTGGATGTATGACAAGGTGCAGTTAGCCTTCCTTACTGCGTCCCCACATTGACGGCCCATGTGGCAGCCCATAGCTTCCAGTATCAATAATGACTCCAAGATCCTTTTCTGCCTCTGCACTGATGAGAAGAGAGTTCCCAGCCTGTAGGTCTGCTGCTGGTTCTTCCTCCCCAGGTGCAGCACCTTGCACTTGTTAGTGTTGTAACCCATCCTGTTCTCATCCGCCCACCCCTGCAACCTGTCTAGGTCCGATTGCAGCCTATTCCTCCCTTCTAGCGTGCCCACTTCTCCCAACATCTTAGTGTCGTCTGCAAATTTGAACAGGGTGCTTTTTACCCCCTTGTCCAAGTTGCTGATGAAGATGTTGAACAGTGCGGGCCCAAGGACCGAGCCCTGGGGAACCCCATTGCCCACATCCCTCCAGATCAAATAAGACCCATCCACCACCACTCTCTGGGTGAGACCCTCCAGCCAATTAGTGACCCATCTGACTGTGTAGGTATCGATGCCACAGTCTCCTAGTTTTTTAATGAGAATGGGGTGAGAGACAGTGTTGAAGGCCTTCCTAAAGTCCAGAAAGACTATGTCCACCGCGACCCCTGCGTCTAAGGATTTTGTGACTTGGTCATAGAAGGCCACCAGGTTGGTCTGACAGGACCTGCCTCCAATAAACCCGTGCTGGTTGCCCCTAAGCATAATCTCCCCTGCTGGCCCCTCGCGGACATGTGCCAGGATAATTCTCCCCAAAAGCTTACCCAGGACCGAAGTAAGACTAACTGGCCTATAGTTCCCTGGGTCCTCCTTTCTCCCTTTTTTGAAAGTGGGGACCACACTGGCCCTTTTCCCTTCCTCTGGCACTTTGCCAAAGCACCGCGAGTGCTCGTAAAGCTGTGCCAGGGGTCCTGCAGTGACCTCTGCTAATTCCCTCAGCACTCTGGGGTGGAGATCATCAGGACCTGCTGATTTGAACTCATCCAGTCCCACCAGAAGTTCCCTGACTAGGTCCTCTCTGACCCTGGGCCTGACTGTGCCTCCCCTGGGACCATCGGGGATCCCGGTGGGTGGGATGACCTGGTGTCTGCTCAGAAAAATGGAGGCAAAGAAATTGCTAAATAGGTTAGCTTTGTTGTCTGGTGAGACCACCGGATTTCCAAGCGTGTCCTGCAAAGGCCCCACGTTACCTGGAACCTTCTTTTTACCCCCTATGTATTTAAAAAAGGACTACTTGTTATCCTTGATCCGGGTTGCTAGTCCCAGTTCCATCTCTGCCTCGTCCTTCCTAACAGCCCCCCTACAATCCCGAGCAACAGAGGTATAGTCCTCCCTGGTTATGGCCCCTCCCTTCCATTGGGTGTACACCTCCTTCTTAGCTTTGAGATGTTCCTGGATGCTTTTGGTGAGCCATGGGGGCTTTTGAGCACTCTTGCCCCCTTTGATCCGTATTGGGATTGCCATCCTTGGGCTTGGAGGATCATCTCCTTCAGGAACAACCACTCTTCTTGAACACCCAACTCCCCACCCCTCCGGGACCTCAGTGGCTCCCCAAGTAATCTCCTTAGCTCAATGAAATCCGCTCTCCTGAAGTCCAGGGCTGCTGTCTTGCTTCAGGCCTTTGCCACCCTGCACTGGATGGTGAATTCCAATAGGCGAGGATTGCTATTGCCCAGGTGATCGAGCACCCACAGTCCCCTTGTCACTTGTGGCCAGGACCACGTCTGACAAGGCATTTCCCCTGGTGGGACTGTGCACCTCCTGAGTTAGATGAAGGTCCTGTAACATGGCTAGGAACCTACATGAGCGGTCAGACCTGGCTGACTGCTCTTCCCAGCAAATGTCCGGATAGTTTAGATCACCCATCCTTTGACTTAACTGCCTCCGCGAGCTGACCTGAGAATTTCCATTCTAGCGCTTGACTCTTAGCAGTTGACTCTTCTCCATACTCAACATCCCTTATGTATCTGTAAGGACCGAAATGCTTAGTGTGAGTTATCTTTAATTGGGGGATTCAGAGCAGAATCGCCAAGTGAGCATTCATGTTCATTCTGTACCCAGAGCTCCACAAAACCTACATTGCTTGATTGTTAAGAAACTAGTGCTGACTTAGAGACTAGGGAGAGAACCACTCTAAATAATCAGAAACTTGTTTAAACCTGTAACAGAACAAAAGCGCAGTGCACATAAACCTGTTTCAAAATGGCTGAATCTGGTTTAAGATAAACCAGATAGTTGAATGTAGTATCAGATTTAACTGATTTGGGTCATACCAGTTTATGAAACTTCTGTCCCAGACCCCTTCCTGGTTCAAGCTATATCAGAGTCCCCCAGGATGATTAACAGCCCTGGGCTGGGCTGGGTTGTCTTCTCCAGCAGAGAAGGGTTGGGGGAGAGGGGACGAGAGGGGCAGGGACTGACCCCCCACCCCCAGGCTTTCCCTGGTTAAACCCCTCTTCTCCCAAGTACAGAGCTGCCCTGCCTTGCTAAACTTACTGAAAGTTACTGCTGGCTGCAACTGTGGATTACAAATCCAAGAAGCACCTGGAAGCAGGAAGAGGAAGTGGTGGAGAACCCTGCAGAGTCCTGCTTCTGTGATGCTGGACTGCAAATCCCAGAGACCTCTGGGGCCGTAGGAAGAGGAAGTGCCAGAGAGCAATGCTGTAATGCCCCTGAGCTTCTGGGCTGAGCATATGGCTGCGTTTCCTGAATCAAAGGTAAATGTGTGTCCAGTTTGGCAGGGGCTGTATGCAGCCACGCTGAGCTGCGCCAGCAGGGAGAAGGGGGAGCCGACCTGGAGTAACCGCAAATGTGGCTGTGACTGCCCTCCCCAGCGCCACCTGCCATAGAGAGGACCAACAGCACCGTTTTCATGGCCCAGGCAGGCAACAACAGCATGGCACCGGCCAAGCTGGCACTTACCTATCCAGTGCTCACTTCTTTTGGGTGCCCTGGTAACAAATTCTATTTATTTACATTAATTCCTATGGGAAAATGGGTTTCACAATTCTGTTCTTTTTAACACTCAGTTTTTCTGGAACCAATTAAGAGCACTAAGTGGGGATTGCCTGTAGAGTCCTGTGGTGTGGGAAACCCAACCTGGAGTTTGTGACTGAAGAAGTGCGTGGTGTATGCAAGCAAAGGCATCTCAGAGAGAGAGCAGAACAGAGAATAGAAGGGTCATGCTTTATCCCAGAAGTTCAGTGCACATAAACCACTTTCAAAATGGCTAAAACCAGTTCAAGATAAACCTGGATGGATGTAGCATCAGACTTAACTGATTTAGGTTAAATCAGTTTATTGAATTTCTGTCCCAAATCCCCTTCAGATTCAAGTCAATTCACAGGCCCCCTGCATCCCAGGATGCTTTGCATCTCCTCCACAACTCCCCTTTCCCTGCAGGGTGGACAGGCTATCCTTGGCCCAAGCTGTCTGCTTCAGCTGAGCAGGGAGGCAGGTGCTAACACCCGCCTTGCTTCTGCTGTGGGCGACAGCAGGCATGTAGTTGCATTTCTGGAATCAAAAGTAAATGTCTGTTCACTTGCTTATTGGTTCAATCTATGCAGCTTAGACTAACTAACCTGTGAAGATTGAATTGATTTAGTCTCAGGCTTTTTGGCAGTCTGTACTTAGCCAGAGAGTTGAACTTGTTTGAGATCTCCCTTTTTAATGAACAGTCAATCTTTTTGTCCCTGACAGGTGGTTGCATTTGCATACACTGGGTAGAGTATGGCTGGTGTATAAAATTGCTGGCTAGACCTCTTCCTGGAGGACCCTTCCTTTTAGAGCTCCCTTCTTCTCTTGCTGCCTCCACAGCGGACCAATTCTGTTTACCTTGAAGACTCTCCAAAAGTTCAAGCCTGGTCCCTGGCCCTTTGACCATTGGGTGTGGTTGGAGTGGGTAGGAGGGCACTTTGCTACTGGTCTTGCTAGGCAAGGGGTAGTCATTGTTTGTGTTTTATGTTGCTGCTGGAATGGTGGTAAGTGTAGGAAATTGCAGTAGTGGTGGTATAATATGTATATTTTTAAGCATTTGTCAAGGGCTCCTAGCATTTCAGATAGGTGCTTTATACTGTACTGTACACTTAAACAGGAACTAAAGGCTTTCTAGTCTTTGGGGCTTTGTACATGCCACATTTTTTGCCTTTCGTATGCTGCAACAGCGTGACTGTTTGCATGAGAGGGTTTTCTGGATGTTTGAAAAGCCTTTCTGGTGCATTAAAGTAAAAATCCTTGGATGTAGTTTAGTTTGGCTCGCTGGGAATTAAAGCATCACATCCATGGATTCACTGCCAGCAAACACAAAGGCACCCAAAGACATGTAATGAGCCACTTTATCCACCAGACGGCACTGCGACCTTTTTGTAGTTCACCCCTTCAAATTGTGTTCACTTTTGAATGTTTCTGCTTTTTTCTTGTTCTTGTGTAGTTTGCCATGTCTGTGCTCCCACAGCTGTATGGCAGGGCATGAGTGAGGGGCCCCGGGGCCGGAAGGGCAGCGCTTGACCACCCTGCTCTCCTGCGGCGCTGCCAGGAACTGGGGTTAATTCATTTGAAAACCAAGTGTGTGCAAAGAGTCAGGAAATTTGAGGCTTACCGAGTTTCCTTTATTTGCAATCTGATGATTTTGTCTTGCAATCTGATGATATTGTGTTTATCTAGTTGCTGTTTCTTAAGTTTTTACTAGGGTTTTACCATATAAATTATTTGCAACTGACCTCGTGTCTTGGAAGGAATGTTCCAATATTTAAGTAACTGTTAAATTAATCCCAGGTGTTCAAATGTTTAAGAAAATGGACAGGGTCCTTCTTTCTGCATTTTATCACTGAAATGTTGCAAATTCCCATTGTCAAGGGTTTTCTGTGTGCCAGCACAAAACTGCAACAGAATTTCACAGTTGCCCCAGCAGGACTTTGAAAACAACAGATTGGGCTGTGAGCCTGATGCATGTCCCCCTCCTTGAGCACGGAGCGCTGCTTTGAATTCTGAGGGGATTGCTATGATGAGCTGCCTTTTCTTTATTTTCTTTTTTTCTTTTTTTAAGACTTCTCTTCCCTCCATTTCTAATTTCTATCAAAATGACTTTAAGTGGCTGAAATTCGGGACAGGCAGTGCCTTCAGCATGATATACTAGCCATTTATTTCTGGAAACTTAGGTCTCAGTGCTCCTTAAGGAGGCACATATAAAATGAATTTGGCAGTATCCAGTCCCCTCCTCAGTTATGCAGGTCCATGTTACAGAAATGATACAGGTTTTGTTGCATGTGCGAGGAAAAGCCATAGCATGAGCAGAAAGCATTGCTGACCAGAACTGTAACAGTAGCAGAGATGCTGGTGTATATCAGGCTACCTTATGCAATGCTAACTCTAGGTCTGATTGTCCATTAGAATTCCTTTTCCAACTTCCCAGTATATCTTCTGCATCAATATTTTTAAACTGGGAGAAGCTTTGGAATCTGAAGGGATCCACATGCCCCCACCTGCTCCATAGAGCAAGTCAACAGGATTTGGAGCCTTGAAGAAAGGGAGGGAAAGTGATCAAGAATTGTTTAAGGTCTGTGGCATCCTCAGAGCAACAAAAGAAGCAGTGTTACCCCTCCTCCCGTGACAGACTAAAATCCCCCAGATATTTTGCTGTCCCACTCACCAGATACTGACTTTGGTTTGTTTTGTTTCAGAGCAGGAGGAAGGAGCTTACCAGGAGGCCCAGGAAAGTCTTCCTTGTTAAAGTGATGCGAACCAGGAACCTATGGAAAAACATTGTGATATTATCTGCGAACTCGTAAGTCCAACATCTTCCTGTCAAGTATGTTAAACACGTTTGCTGCTGGTAAACTGAAAGTAGATAGTGGGCAATACTGGATAACACAAAGGCCATCTTCTTCCCATTATAAGACCCTTAACAGCCCATCACTGATAACTCATCTTTGATAAGAAGAGTGAGCAATACTAAGAAAGTGTGCAGTTGAAGCTTAACAGAGGAATTAAGCTCAGAGTTGGGCCTGCTGCTTCTTCTCCAGACATTTTAAGACGTGGAGCATCAGGTGCTTCTTGGAAATGGTAGCTCTGCAAGTGTGTTGGTGTGTCAGTCATCAAGGTTTTGTCTCTGCCTCCCTGGCACGCAAACAGTGGCTTTTAGTAAGGGGTAAAATTTCCAAGTGCTCCTGAGTGACTTAGAAGCACAAGTCCCAGTGATTTCTATCTGAATGGCACTTTCCGGACTCAACAGGGCTTGTGCTCCTAAGTCTCTTGGATGCATTTGAGCATTCTACCCTCTACTTCCAGTAGGTAGAGTCAAGAAGGCAGGATAGTCCTACCAGGTAGTAGTTTTGCATTTCATAGTGTATCTTTTAAATTGAAGTCAACTATTAAATACTTGTTTTGTGTTTGGTCTTCGAGAGACAGAGAGAGTTTTTTTTCTCAAGTGAGAGAGCAAGCTGTAGATTCCAGTTACATGGAGGACAGTTAATGGCTACCACTTTAATCCACATGTTTTATACATTTTCTGGGAGGAATTGGGGAGCTAGTTAGGTGAGGGATTTTGCCAATGTGTCTTGATTCTTATTTCAAGGAAGGGTTGGGGGAGGAGAAAAGCAGTGCCTAGTTAATTGAAAGTAATGAATGGCAAAATTATAAAACTGTTACATACTTTGTTTATTGTTTCTAATATTAAGTCTTTTAATTTGGCAAAGAAAAGAGGTTGCTTTTCAAGAAATCTTACAGGGTTTTCAAAATAGCCAGTCTATTGTTAGTAGCCAGTCTACTGTCATCTAGCTTATTATAGAGCCATCCTGTCCTCTTCATTCATATGAGAAATTGCAGTGACCCACAGTGTTAAGTTACAGGAAGGGGTTAAACTGCAGCCCTCTGAGTGCCGCCCCCCCGGCTTGTTGGGACTCTGTACTGTGGTCTGCAGCTTAGAGGGCATGTAGCTCCTGACTACTTAGAATTTGGACAGCCCTGAGTTGCACCACTGTACCAACTGAACCTATGTGGGCAGTAGCTTGCTACATTTTCTTATTACTATTTCTCCTCCTTCATCACTATTGTGAAACTTGGGAACGTGTAAATGTGGGGGAAGACAAGATGTTTCAGGGAGAAAGAAAGAGGAAAACACTTCAGGGCAGCTTGAGTTATTAAAAAATGCAACTTTGCAGCTGCTAAACAGTTTAGGATATTAGAATAAATTATGAAAATGTAGATTAGAGGGCAAAATACGGAGGACAAATTAATTGTATGGGTATCCAATCTGTCACATGGCTGTCACCTCTAAAATGCATCACAAATGTATGTATTGTTTGTGTATGTAATGAATTAGGATTGCCCACTAATATATCAAATATCATGTTGGCTCACTAGTAAAGCTCATAGTGAAGGTCAGAAAGAGATTCTCTGTGGAGTGTACTGTATAGATTTCTAAAGCAAATGATGGTATATTGATATAACATGTAGCCAGTCATGCTAGAGGCTAGAATCCACAGGTGGCTTAATGATGCACAGTAGGACTGTGCTGATTTGTTTTCAGAGGAGATTCAGACAGATTCAGTGGCTGAATCTCCGAATCTGAATCAACTCAGGAGACCAATTAAAAGGTCTAAATTGATTAGAGGCTCTCTGAATTGATTCAGAAAAGATTGGGAGAGCTTCGGTGATTCGGGCATTCCCTGCTCCATGCTGGTAAGTAGCGGGTGGAGAAGGAGAGAGGGGACCATGGGGGACACCTGCCAGGCCCCACCCCCTGCCCACTCTCCCAGCCCCCCCCATGGCTGCCCTGCCAGGCCCTGGCTCTTTAAAAAAAAAAAAAGCCCCCATTCACCGGCTGCTGCTAGGTGGGGGTTGATCCCCACTGCCCCATGCCACATGGGAAAAGTGCTATAATATTTGGGTAATATGGATCTGCTTCCCATGGCCTCCCGGCCCTTTAAAAAAAAAAAAAGAAGAAAAGCCCTGCACTCACCAGTTGCTGCAGCAGCCTCGGGGCTTTTGGGGGG